TAAACTAAAAATCGATCGGTAACTCCATATAAATTTGTGCAATGTTGACCAGGTTGAAAATCAGGTAGTCACCAACGACTGTTTGTATCATTTGAGCCATATTTCCAACGGACATAATCAGCAATATCTTCTACAAGCTAACTTGGCTGACCCTCAGGATATGACTGAAATATATATCCAGGAAATATCGCCACCCTCTTCTAACCGCCCCAATGGTTCGCTTTATTCGATGATTATGTGCTTTGTCATTTAAATCTGAATAAGGAGAATAGTTGGGATTAGTTTTAAAGACAATCTTTCAACACACTCGATTCGGTACATTCAGCGCTTGAGAAATATTCTGAGAAAAGCGTTTGATTGGGCAAAAAGACATCACCGCTCGAGAAAGAACTTGTCTATCTTAAAAACGTTTACAGCATGAATACGAATATTTTTTTCTTGCACGGCGAAAACAGTATATGGATTATATAAATCATACAAAATTTTGATAATTGGTGAAGACAAGAGCCGACTGCATTGCGACTTGCGAGGGTCGCTGCGTTCGTATTTCATGGTGCATTGGGACAATATAGAAGTTGATTAAATGAAACGATGAATGTGCTTAGCCTGTAGTTTGTGTATAGACAAATGGTATTTTCCTTGTTGATACCTACACCGTTGAAATGCTATAAATTTCTTGTTTATCAAGTTTGTATGCTTGATGGATAAACGCTATTGATGTATCGTTTGTGACAACGAGAAAATTCATCATTGCACTTAATGAAGAATATTTTTGTGGCATATCAAACTGTGAACAAATCAGTTTAAGTTAAAAATTGAAATCTATTATTGGAAACAAAAAGCATTCACTTTTCCTTTACTGAGTCCAGTATATTTCTTCGAGGAGCAATGCTAGACAACGCTATTCATGCTGCTTTCAGATTTCATTCTTATGTATTGTGAGAACTTTTCTTGCAACAATGACGCGGATCGTTTTAAGTAGTCGCAAGTTATACTATTGTTTGTTCAAATGAGAATTTCAATTTATATAGACGCGTTTTGCTGGTCTCGTGTATCCTTTTCTGTATATGATACATGTTTAAAACAAGAAAAGGTAAAGCAAAAAATTGGTGAGAAAAACACAGATTCAATTTCAATTCCATTGACTCGTTCTCACCCGAACAGATAGTCTTTATGCATAGGAGAAGAAAAGAACGACAGAAAAACAATAGTGAGCAGTGCTTTCTATGCGATGATCATCTAACTGAGAAAAAGATGAACGTATATAAGTCATGACGAGACTCCCAGGCATATTTCATTTATCTGATATGATTCTCGGCGGTAGTACTTTGATGATATTCCTTTGATAGAATAGGGTAGGTATCTTAACGAGTACAGTGCATATCATCGAAAGATGTTATTCATATTTCTAGTCATTCGAAATATAGACTTATTGAGAAGACATGAGATTCGATTTTGTTCTGTATGCCATATCATCAGAATTTCTCAGTAATGACTGATGTTTAGAGAAATTGAGATTTGCTGACACTTTTTCTGTCGTAGAGATTGGAATTAAATTATTTAGTGTTCACCGAGAAACTAAAAATATGTTCATCATTTGAACTCAAATTCTATTTTAAACTGCGGGTGTTCACTGCAAAAGTGGAATAATTCATACGATAAAAATAGCATTTCTTTCTTTCTAAACAATAGCTAATCGCTGAAAACTATAATGGCTAATTAAAAGAATGAAATCCATTCATTGGTCTCTTCGAAACGTTAACGTCTTTTTTCAATGGCTTACGTCATCTGTCTCTCTTCTCGTTGATGCTTCTAATCAGCTCTCACTTCATCCTGCCTGCAGTCGTAGAGTTAACTACTAATGCCATCGACATGTATAATAAGAATAAGTTTTCATTTGACTTCGCTGTCATCTTAGTTTGTTCTTATCACAACAATGTCTATAGCAGCATTCCTCGCCGCTTTTCAACAAAATCTTTTCAAATATGGTGGCCCCATACTTATAGCAATCGGTACTATCAGCTGTTTCTTGAACCTCTTGGTGTTCACACAGAGCACACTACGCAAAAATCCATGTACAATCTGTTTGATCGCAGTTAATATCGTTAATCTTGCCACTTTCTATACGACCCCTCTCTCGCTGGTACTCTCATCAGGTTATGACATCGATCCTAGTGCAAATAGCCTTGAGCTTTGCCGGTTTCGATTCTATATAGGTTTTGTACTAACATGTTGGGAATCATCATGTCTTATCTTGGCCTCCATCGATCGAACGCTCGTCACCTCACCGAATGCCAACACAAGAAAACACAGTACACGCCGACTAGCTATCACAAGTATCATGTGTATATGCTTATTTTGGGCAATGTTTCATATTCATACATTGATTCATGTGCAAATAATTCCATATGGACCTAATTTTTTTGTTTGTTACTATGAACCAGGTGCATACACGACGTTTATCACATATTATTCACTTCTACTCAATGGAGTTATTCCACCTCTGCTCATGTTTATTTTTGGATGTTGGACAGTACAGAATATTCGTAAAGTCCGTCACGCAACACGACAATCGGGCTCGACACATTCCGCTGTTGTTGTGATTGGAAGACCACAAATCTTTCAGTCGAAAGATCAACAACTAATTCGAATGTTGCTTGTGGAAATCGTTACTTACATTTTGTGTAAAAGTCCAGTTGCAATCTTTTACATTTATCAAGAAGCCACACGATACAATGGAAAAAACACGGAACAACAACTGATTGAACAATATGTGTCGTCATTAACATATTTCGTGTATTTTATTGAGAACGCTGTTAGTTGTTATACGAACATTCTAGTATCGAAAACCTTTCGTGCAGAGCTTAAACGAATGTTGTTTAATGCTCGTCAGTTGAGTTGTCGTTAATGAAAAGATTCATATTGTAATAAAACGTAAATCAGATGCTATTTTGTGAATGACCTATGATTATGTCCTTTCGTTACCAAAGGACATAACATTCAAAATATCAAACTACATCCACTAAGTGATCTGTCAAACTTCGTGTGAATGTACCGACATTAGTCGAAGAAATGAGGGCAGTGCACATTTATCCGAAAGTACTGAATTGCAGCCTACAGCAATGCTAAGATCACTTGACGCCTGCTGCGATGCAGACTAATTCGCTTTTATTAGCACGCAAAAGAAGACGATTCGTCTAGACGGCTTTTAGATTTTTGCATATAGTGATTAAAGTCAATAACAAAACGTTTTCGAGAGATTTTATTATCATCATCGAAATTTCCCACGGATTTGTTGAATAACATCTCGTAATTCTTTTCGATATACTTCTGACGGCAGAATAAATATAACGCTATGCAATACGCATGGAATAAACGAGGCAAAGTATCCAATCAGAAATAGCCATGGATCGCGAACTGATTTCATACAGTCGCGATAGAAATGCTAAAACTATTAGTATCATGGGACTTATCAACAGTTGTTTATGAATTGAAAATTCACCACGAAGTTGTTCTTGATAGTTCTGTTTGCGAGCAAATGAATGAAATCAAGTACTGAGAACACTAATAACGAAAGCGGAAAGAATATTAATGAGAAACGGTATTAGAAAGTGAAGTAAATTTACCAATGAATTCATCATTTCCACTTGTTTAGAAGAATAATGGACAATGCACCATGTTCTTCTCTCTTCTCCATCATCAGCTAAACATCGATGAAGTGGATCATGAACATTACTTTCGTTAGAAGAAAGACGAATTTTAATGTGAAAATAATCGCAACCAGTAAGGTCAGAATCGATGATGTGATCAGATAAATTCCGCATCCCACTTGTCGAATTATTTTACTCTTGAAAGTTAGCACTGAAAGCGTTCCAGTTAAGACTGTTAAAATAAACATAACCATAGTGATGATTAGACTGAATTTAACAGAAAATGGCTGACGACCGATGGATAGATTAGGCCGGATTTGATAGGCAAGAATAACATCGAGACTGAAGCCAACGCCTTTTGTAGTAAACTGACATTTACTTCCATAATAACAATCGGAGCAGATGCACAAAATCCGACTTGGACAAGGTCGATCTTGGAAGCATGACGCATTGTTTTGACAATCATGTAACGATCGACACTCATGCGATGTTTGATTGAAATCAAAATGAAAACAATTTGCATGCCGTTCTTTTGTGCATAGACACATGAAAGTGTCTTCGTCATGAAAACAGGCAAGCTGCGGATGTTCTCGACAGATTTTGTGATAATATTTCACACGACGTAGTGGAGGCCAACGTATTTTTAAGAATTTGTCAACTCGTGGACAATGACGAGATGGTGATAGTTGCGTTTCTATGGAAAGACCATTTGCATTATTGTCTTGCAAAAAAATTAAATAATAATCATTTTGTATTTGACTCAAGACGATATGAAATAAATGAGAGAAGTACAAAACAACTTCCTCTTTATCATATGGTATCTTAGTTGACACGGTTGTAAATAATGGATCTTCATATCCACGAACAGCAATGAAATAAACTAGCATAGCTTGTGGAATTATAACTTCATTCAATGTAATAAGAATACCAGTATCTGTTTGTTCACATGTCTTTCCTGAAAAATTATTCGGGCAACGGCAGATATACTCATAGGGATTCGTGTCATGTGCAGTACAGAGACCACCATTCTTACATGGATTTGATTGACAAACAGACGGTAACAAACATCGCGGTCCAATTCTATGCGCAGGGCACATGCAAGTCGATCGATTGTTGACTATTCCCAGACATACCGAGTCTAGTGAACAGCGACATTGGTAGGCAACTGTACAATTGAGACCTGACCAACCCCTATCGCATAAACAGTAAGTTGTATGTTGTGCGTTTGCATAGGTCATACATTGGCCGTGTCCACAGAATACGGCGCAGTGTGCTCGGGGCGGTTCCAACGGGAGTGTAAGCAGAGCAACAACACGATTCACCGGCAGGAAAGCAAATTTTATTGGGACAAGCCAGCTCGAGTAGAACGTTAACAAGTTAGTCGATTTGTTATAAACATCGATATGCAAACTGTATGTTATTGTCTCATTTTTCGGACGTTGTTGATATAGAAGATTCAAATTGAATTTCCTAGCACAGTCATATTGTGGTGTATAAGATAGAACATCTTGGGAATGAACAAGTCCATTTTGGTCCATGAGTGATACGGCTATAGCGAAAAACCCATGGCATTCAGGTGAACAAACTGGTCGGAATTGTAATGTCAAACTGACGCGCTGATTTTGAAATTGACATTGAGTACCATAATAGCTAGGTGGACACAAGCATCGACTATTAGTCTTTGAACGATATCTAACTGTGATACCACGATTACAGCCCCATGCTTCGCGAAGACTTATTCGACGATTTGGGCTATTTTGACCCGTTGATGTTACAGGTTTTATCACTGCATCAGACTGAGCTAATTTTGATGACGAAGCTATTCGCGATGGATACCCATTTGACTGTATTAGGTCAAAGTGTTGAATGAGTGGGACATTTCGTAGCAAATAATCAGAGTCACGAATCATGTCAGTCATAATGATTATCACGTCAGGATTAATATTTTCAACGATTGCTCCATCGAAATGACATGTAAATTCAATCTCTTCAATTATCGGCAGCGAACACGATGTTTCATTCCAACATCTGTATGTGGCCAGTTTGTGATCTGTTTGCCCCATTTGCTGTCGACAATACGCTAGTTCATCCAGCGCTCCAAGACAATTAACCACTGAATCATTGAATTGGGTGATTGCTAGACATATTTTCGTCAAAACAGAAATAATCTGGAGATGCGCTCTCTTTTGGTCTAAACATGCATATTGTTGGATCATATTCAAAATGGGCATAACCACAAAGAGACATGCTCTCTTAAACGGAAGGAAAACTAACTGCAGTATAAGTGTTTGATTAGTCAAGTACACATAACGAATATGACCATCGAAAACCGGCTTTTGAGGATATACGGCGAATGATGAAGAACATACTTTTGTCATATTTATAACACATTGATTTGTTTTCTTAATACAGTATATGGAACATTCAGCAGTGAGCCGCGCTGCATGATGGATAGAACAATATAATGCGTGCCAACATTCATTCGATAAATGCTTGTTTTCTTCGTGAGACTCGATGATTTCTTTTAATAAGAAATCTCCGCAGAACATATGTGAAAAGCTAGCAGCATATGAGACATCTTCACATCGAAAAGCAGGATCTTGAAAACAATAAACGCGGGGTTCAGCTAACATTTTCAATCTCTGATATCTGCTCTCGTCGCTGCCATCCACACAGTCGAGATCGAATGAATTTTCATCGAAGAAGGAGACCGGTATACACATTCCATTACGATATCGGAATTCGTCGTCACTGCATTGATTAGCTTCGAGTTAGAAGCAATTTTGTTCATCAACACCATCGTTTAAACAATTGATTCGCCCATCACATATTTCTCGCCAATCAAGACATGCAGGTAATGTCCCACGAGTACAGTTCAAATGCGTATAACATGTTAAATTCGTCACCATCGTCGGTTTGAAATTATCAGAGGTTCGATAATCTTTGGCAAGGAACATCATTCGCACAATAGATTCAAACGAGTGCTTTTGTTCAAATGAATTTTAAAAAATTTTGTTGATGATAAAGTTGTCAGAAGTATTCTTATATTCCATGAGTATCTTGCCAGTTTACTAGACATCTTACTTGAAATGTTTTCTGACATTTTATAATGAAACAATTCAATCAAATTTATTAAAATATATGAAATAAATAAACGAATAATCGCGTTCGCATTCGATTAATTAATCAATGGAGACTTTTTTCCAGAAATCTAACCATGACTATATCTTATGGATCAAATAGAGTGCATCAAGCGATTATGATCAGTTTGCACAGTGTTTATCAAAATAGTTTCCGCGTCAAATGTCACACATGCAATTGAAGTGAAACTATAGTGACGATGAGGCGACTAAATTCTTATTGAAAATATAGAAAAGATACAAATAGAATTTACAGGCTGTATTGTAGAAAATTGAGCGAAGGATTATCTCATCTTGACGTCGGATTTCACTAAAGCTTTGTACCTTCACTGGGTACTTATTTTTATTTGGTGCGACATGGAGTAAAATGATAGGCATGTCATCGTGTCTGTTGAGATGATTATATATGCATTTTACTGATTCTGATAACCTTCAGTTATTGTTATTTTTCAAAATGCGTGCCTTATCTAGTTACGTCACTGGAGCATATATAAACGATGCACTTTCGTTCGCCTCCTACTCATTTTAGTCTTATTCTATTGTACATATCACATAATATCAACAGCTACTTCGAGTACCGTGGTCCTGAACTTATATTCATAGGTACTCTCAGTTGTATATTGAATTTGATGGTATTTACACAGAATACGCTCAAAGACAATGCGTGCACAATCTGCTTATGCTCATGTTTGGATGTTGGCCAGTGAGGAATATTCGTGGAGTTCGTCAAACCGCACAACCTATTCATACGAGAAATTCATCTACTGTCGTCACTGCAAGACCTTGAACACTCCAATCGAAAGATTGACATCGTCGGTTATGTCGTTTGTCAATTTTCAATAACTATCTTCTATTTTTACCGAGAAATTTCATCTTAAAATGAAAAAAATATAGAGCAGTAACTGCCATATCCCGCACGCCTATTAATTATTCTTTGATATCAAGTGCCATCATAAGAGGTTGTGGATTATGAACAATAATTTTCCGCCAGAAGGTTCATCCAATGTCATACTTTTGTCTGAGTTTTTATAATTTCTCGATTCACGAAATCGCCATCTTCTTTCTATCGAAAGACTCATGCGCGTATAAAAGCGGTGTCAAATTAAAGACAACTGAAGAAGATGAACCAACTCGTATGTCAACGTGTCGTTCACATGAAGAAATCAGAACAATCTATTCATTAATATTATACGACGTATATCCTTAGAGATTAATATAGATCTTCTTTTCCCCTTTGGTTTATTTGTGTCACAATTCTGTTCATCATTATAGATTCTTGGTGTCAGTTCGCTTACGATTCCGACTTCTAGCTCATACTGTGCGCTCTCATATTCTCGACTATTGGTCTTTTCCATCGCACGCTCTCTTTACTCGTTATTTCTGAATAAATATCCAAAGCGTTGCCGCGGCATATACAATAAACTTCGTCTAGTTCTTTTTTTGCGATGCTAAAAATATATTCACTGTATGCCGTCTTTTCTATTTTGCACCATCGTTTGTATTCATTGCCCATGTATAAGATAATTCATGTAGTAAAACTAGTTTTCTCTTTCTTGTGAACAACAACTAGTCAACAAAAACTATGAATAATAATTACAAGAAAATAATCTTTCCACTATACTCTTCAAACTGTCAAATTCTCTCTCACGCAATGTACAAACTCTGATTATATTGTCTTCAATGTTCTGCATAATCAACAAAGCTTTCACACCTGGAACACTAGGATTAACGAATGTCGTCTTTGGCTTATATAAACCTCATCCCCACTTTTTTTTTTATTCTAGTCTCATTTAAGTTTTATCACATCACAGTCATGTCAGCAGCAGCAGCATTTCTCTATGCCTTTCAACAAAATCTTTTCAAGTACGTCGGTCCTCTACTCATTGTTATTGGTACAGTCAGTTGCCTATTGAATCTCTTGGTATTCACACAAAGTACAATGCGCAAAAATCCGTGCACAATCTATTTAATCACAGTCAACAGTGTTAATTTAATAGCTTTCTATTTCATACCTCTTCTGACAATATTTTCATCAGGCTATGGCGTCGATCTTACTGGAAATAATCCCGTCTTCTGCCGACTTCAATTCTATGTAGGTTTTCTGTCGTCAAGTTTGGAATCATCATATCTTATTTTGGCCTCTATCGATCGAACACTCGTCACTTCATCGAACGCTCTGACAAGAAAACGAAGCACACGTCGACTAGCCATCACAAGTGTTATTTGTGTTGGCTTGTTCTGGACAATTTTCCATGTTCACGCACTGATTTACTCGCAAATTATCCAGTATGCACCTGGCTATTCTGTTTGTTATTTTACACCAGGTGCATATAGCACGTTTGTCACCTACTATGGGTTGTCACTCAATGGAGTTATTCCACCTCTGTTCATGCTTATTCTGGGCTGCTGGACAGTGAAGAATATTCGCAAAGTCCGTCATATCACACAACATTCTGGCTCAACACATTCAGTTGTTGTCGTGGTCGGCAGACCACGAATCCTTGAATCAAAGGATCGACAACTAATTCGAATGTTGCTCGTGGAAATCGTCACTTACATTCTGTGTAAAACTCCAATCATAAGCTTTCTAATTTATCGAGAAGTTACACGGTATGTTGAGAAAAATGGAGAGCGAATCTTGATCGAACAATACGTGTTTTTACTAGCAACTTTCGTGTTTTACATCGAGAATAGCATTGGTTGCTATACAAACATCTTAGTGTCGAAAACTTTTCGTATAGAACTGAAACGAATGTTGTTGAATGTTCGTCAAATATGTGTCGTCAATCATCAAAATAGATCATAATTGTAATAAAACTATTCTGTCGTGTGTAAATACAAATATTTATCTATTGCTGGATTTTTCGCAGCTTTCTTTTAAATAGCATCTGATATCATTGTCACAGACATAGTAACACCTAGTTTTTCATTCTTCTCTGATGATCAATATACATTTATCCAATACTAAATAAAAGAAAATAGCGCAATCTTTCCTTTTCACACATGCGCAATATATCAGACGAGCGATCTTTCTTCTTTCGCACATACACTAAAGATAGTATACTGAAAAATGCTTCGTACATGCGCTAATTTATTACACAAGAGATCGTTTCAGCTATCTCTTGGAACACACTTTACAAGCATCGACCCAATAGCTGGCAAAACGAACAAAAAAATAAATCAAGAAAAAAAACATTTTACAACATCTTTCCTTTGTAGGAACCTGACTTTTTTATTCTCATTTGAAATAAAAATGTTTGCATTCAAAGTTCTTTTCATCCACGTACGAACAACGAAAAAGAAGGCATGTTAATACAAGTCTGTTTTACAAGCAACAGAATGCGACACATGATTTATCGAAGATTCAATCGTCGACTATGTGCCATCGTCATATCTATCGCACTATACTCTTAATGTTTTCAGTTCCAACGTGAGAAGATTCGTTTCGTTAGATAAGACTTTAAATCATCCTTTGCTTTAGAAATGTGACATACACAAACGTTTGTCAATCAACGAGAAATATTCTACTCTTATAAAACCACATAAAACAGCCTCTTTGAGTATTCAGAGCATCTTCTTACGCTACGGAGATAAGCATAATCTAATGTTCGTATTACTACGAGGAAAAACAATTTATTTTGATCATTCTCAACTTTAAAGAAATGATGGCTGTTATGCCGAATGACACCATTTTTCGAAGAAAATTCGATGAACAAATGCTGCATTTCTGTGTGGAAAAAATGAAGACTGAAGCGGATAGATTACAAAGTGCAACTGAACTCATGTGCAGATATTGTGTGAAAAGGAAAGTTCCTCTGAAACACGTTGTAGGATCAAAGTGTACCTGGTACAATGATTTAGTATTAGGCTTCGAGAAAATCCCGAATGTCAGTAGAACGTGCAACGATTGGGTTCAATATGGGCTTTTATATATTGATTATATCAGAAGAAAACAGACACGAACTCGAACAGAAATGCTGAGATTTGGTGAGTTGACGGTGTAGTTTTCAATAAAGATTGTAACATCTGTCTCACAGATCCACTTTTGTCTATGTTATTATTGACTCGATTAGAATCCAAACTCAATACCGTGTTATGGAACGATCATCATTGATTTCTGTTAATGTCAAATACGACGAGAAAGAATTGACATATTTCATTACAATGGAAGGAAAACTGTCTTCAGCTCTAAGTTACTTTATTCTTGATCTAAAATCAATTCTTTTAACATCCAAGAATCCTTTTATAGTCTTCGATGAACTTGGACGATGTCTAATGGAGGATAGATTAGTCGGTGAACTCTATCGATCTGACGAAAATACACCAGTTCAAATCCACATTGTTCAATGCAACGAACAAACGAATTTCTGTTGTCAAGTAACATTTATAGAGAATACCGAATATAGCCAAAGTGAATGTTTTATGCCCACGACTCTTTGGAAACAGATGAATTTATGGCTGAAATCTCAAAACATTCTTTCTGAGAATGCCAAGGAGAGTTATTGCTTCTGGTATATCGAACAACAGTGTATGATCGACAACAATCAAAGTCTTAGTTCAGTATTGAATCAAGTTGAGTCGATTACTGTCGATGTGATCGATGATACAGATTTTGTTGATGTTATAGTTTCTTTCGATGGCAATAGGCGTAGTGTGCATGTTCTTAAAGCATCGTCGGTTAAAGTTCTTCTCGATAATTTACGATATTTGAATACAAAGAATTTCAATATCTCGTCGACGGATTGTACACTTGTTCTTCTATCGGATGAGGACGAACAGAAAATTTTGGAAATATCTGATATGGAGAATTCAATTGGACAGTATGTCTCAACTGTAGGTAAAGCAATCCAATTCCAGATTTCTATTCTTATCAAATTAATTGACTATGAGACTAAAGAAGAAATTGCTGTTCCTGTATCTTGCGGAAATCTAACAGTAGAGCAATTGATGAAATTATCGAAGATCACCGATGCTCGAATTCATCCCGCTTCAAATTCTACTAAAATGGTTTTACCTATGAATTATCAATTGACAGTAAATAATGAAACTCAGTTATTTCTAGTTCATCACCATCAGACATGCCTCGTGTCAATTGAACGATTGAAAGGAATTCTGATTTCACTTAATGACGAATTAATCACTCAGCAATACATAAGTAATACTACTGTTGGCGACATTTACAAACAAAACAAGGATATCATTGAAGAAAATCAGTATCTTCTTTATGGGCAAGATATCGTTCCATCCTGCGGAACAGTGCTACAACTATTGATACGAACAGTGGATTCGCCCATTGATTTCCGTATTATCGATCAGAAACTCGTAGCAAAGGTAACGGTTACATATACTGAACAAGAGACTAGCATTGAATTCCAATGTAAGGAAACGATGATGATGAGTCGTGTGCGGCAAATAGTTTGTCAATTATGGAAATTAAACGAACAATTTTATTCTTTTATACTCACTGATGGTAGTGAAATTGCGTGTTATGACTACACTTTAAATGATCTCGGTGAAAATATTGATGATGTACAACTGACATTGGTTTGTGCTGCTGAGGTTACATGTACAATATCTTACGGAGATGTTGTTATTACTATGCCTACGGCAGATGAAGTTCTTGCAAAAGATATTATCAAGCAGGCACTAGAGAAACTCCATATCCCACTAGAGGAATATGATCGTTTTGAATTAAATGTATTAGAAGATCCAGAAAATCCAAGTGGAGTTAATGAAAATTCATCCATAGCTGATATTAGAGAAGATTTACCCGATGATATGACTACTATTCCATTTCTATTACTCAAACAGTAAATGAACATTTTTTATTCGATGTCACTTTGTTTTTTTTATACAAGAGGATTTTTTCATAAATAAAGTTCTTTTTCGAAAACATTGAGCTATAACTCCTGTTATTCCGTTGAAACAAGCATTTCATTCAACACTATCCATTAGTCTATGCGAACAGTTGAATATAAAAGCCAATCGTTTCTCTCATGATTTAAAGTGCTTTCTCTGCAAAAGGTCAGGAAATTTAACTGTCATTTTGAATGACAGAATGTTATTTCTGTAAAAAAAACTGCCCTAGTTTCTAGCTGTGCAACTTAAATAGGATTGCTTTTACTTTTAGTTTACTCTTTGGACTTTTCTGCGCAGGAACTATACATCAGAATACGAACCACTTAATGCTAAGGAACAGAGAAAAACTCATCGCCTATTTCAGCTTCATATACAGCCGCATACTTCTTGATTCAATTCCTATATATCAATTTATTTTTCTTCAAAAACAAGCTACGTGGAATCTTCAATGGATGCTGAAAACTCGACTAAAACAATTGTCGAATCGTGGTTTATTCCAATCGATATTCTTGCAATTATCTTGAATGTCATAACTACAATCCTGGCGATAATAGCTTTAACACTAATTATTTGCGACAAATCGTGTCGAACCGCTTCAATGATCCTTGTTGGAAATTCGTGTGTAGCGACATTGATGTTTGCAGTTGAAATACTTTGCATGAATGTGTTTACTCTCCAGAATGATCTGAATCAGATTCGATATGAATATCCACTTTGTGTGGTACTTGGATATTTAAGTTACACAACGTGTGCTATGGAAAATTATTCGTTTCTCTTACAGGCGGTGTATCGATATTTATTAATTGTTTATCCAACTCGTACTTTCTGGCATTCATGGCAAATGCAAATCTTATACATTTGTATTTCATCGATCATGGTTGGTATATTTCCAATGTTATTTTTGTTTACTGGACAGCTCACATATGATGTGGATAATCAAATGTGTCAAATGTATCTTCGATTTTCCTTTCCAGTCGTTTACATGGCAGTTTGTCTCTATATGATTCCGGTTTCCACGACTATGTCCATTTATTTTATCTTAACTCGATATGTTAAAAGAATGAATGCAAATACGACACCAACTAACGCACTATCAAGAGCCCAGCGCGATTTAAAAATGCTCCGACGTATTATCATATTAATAGCAATTCTCATTGCTATTTGTTTTCCTTATCAACTAGTTCTTTTCCTGTCGTTCTTTAACCATGCACCAAAACAAGGCTTTCGTATTGGTTTTCTATTTGGTGACATCGGAATGGTGTATGTCATTCTCGCCTTGTTTAAATTTTCAGATCCACTAAAATCTTCTATAAGGAAAATGATAAATAAACCATCAAACGTGGCCATTGTAGCTGTATCATGATTAAGAAACTGCTGTATCGAGCCTTTGACCATCGGTTATGTTGTTGTTTCGTAACAGTGAATAGAAACGAATTATGTATTTAAATCGGTTTCAATTTCTGTTGTTTTTCCTCAAAACTATATAAATCTTTCACGGTACGAGATCTCTACAACTGCAGCGTTGTCAAAATATTTCAATAAACCGCATTAGTTCTCTTGTTATCATCTATCAGCACTTTGGTCGCCTCGTTGTGTTGATCTCAAAATGCAGTTTGTGTCAAACAAGTTTAGCTTTATCTTGGGATGAATACGTGATTCAAACATCGCTAATCAAGCACATAGAATCAATATTAGTAGTTTAGACATGTCTATTGACTTCCATCCGACGATCGTCAAATCACATAAAAAAGAGATGACAGTTCCAATAAACGTTTTCTAATGTCTGATGCAGCTGAATCCTCATCATCTCAATCAACTGCATGTCTCAGTTGAAGTCGTATTCTACTATCAGCTTCTTTCCCAGTGATATTCGGCATTTTTAGTGTTGTTTTTACAATACAACAAAATATCATTTCTCAGGCTAATCGCGAACAAGATCAACGGCAAGCGAAGATACTTCGTCAACAAAATATTTACGATGCGTACATCAACGATATTTCGGCCTTAATTCTCAGTCCGTCGTTTAATGAATCCAATCGACATCAATTAAATTATATCGGATTTAAAACAGTGGACATCATCAAACATTTGAGTAAGGCTCAGAAGCGCGACATTATTTTCTTTCTTTATAATCACAAATTACTTTCACGAAATAAACCAGCTAGTCAACGTGTCGATTTGATTGGAGCTGATTTGACCGATGTTGAATTTGTTCGATCGCCTTCTCTCAATTGCGACCTTCGAAATATATCCTTGCAGTATATTCTCGCTTCAAATATTGTCTTTGATAGATGTGATATCAGTTTTGCACTATTTCAAGGAGCTTGGATGGTTGGCGCAAAATTTATCAAGTCAATTATGCATGGCGCAAACTTCGGCAAGGCTAATTTGACTGATGTTGTATTTGATGGCAGCAACATAAATCTGATAGATTTTTCCCATACTATTCTTGTAAATTCAAAATTCTTGGAATTAAAACCACACGGGACTGATTTCACCAATACCGATCTGCTGAACAGTGATCTGACCGATAAAGATCTATCAAATATGAAATATCGTTTCTATAATACTCGATTGCCGAACGGTACTTTCAGTGCAGTGGATAGCACTCAATTAATTGCCGACGGTGGCGCAGAAAACACGGTAAGTTCTCCTTAGTTTTTAACAAAATGTCGAATGAAATATATTTCTAGTGCACTCGCGATAGTCATAGAGAGTGGATGAAGTTCGAACGGTACAGTAATCTTGACTTATACACCGCAAATTATCGTAATTGGAGTACTCCTAAACCTGTCAATGGTAAATGCTACTTTGGTAAGAATAGTCTGGGTGTGATGTATCAATATTTCTCTAAAACACATTACTCGTTGTTAATCAACAATGAACATGCTTATTTTAATGTTTCTGCTTACATGGGTTGTACGATACCTAATAGAGAGAATGATCGTGCCTTAGTTGATGTACGATGTTTTGATCAGTTCTACAATGGTCCTGTATGTGGTGGAATAGGTATTGAAAACCTAGTTTTCGTTCTCTCTTTTTATTTTGAATCGTTTTTAGAGTCAAATAGAAATTTATCTGGCTTTCATTTTTATTCAACATCTGCATCCATTCTAAAGGGAACTGTTCATTTGCGAATTTGGATCGAAGTCAACATCAAATCTCCTTCGAAACCAACAGATGCGCTTATTCAAAATTGTTTCATCGACGACATCAAACTATTCATTTTTAGAAAAGATAAACGATAAGCATAGATTAATGGACGTTATCTCACGATTCTACCTACCGAAAGAATGACGCTGTGAAAGTTTATTACTCACAAAACATTTTTTATTGATCTTACTTTACTTAGAAACGATAAGACGTGATAAAAAATACTTCATTTAAAACATTGTTCTTTTTGCATTGCTAATCCGTCGACGTAGTCGTCTTTGTTTGATGATGCAAGGAATTCTCAATTGTGGATTCAGAGCGTCAAAGATAGAAATACTACTGCCGCATATACTAACGACAGGCTGACCACTTGGTGCTGCTATTGGAGGCGAACTATCACGCAAATCGTATTGATGATGTGATCTCGCACGAACATTGGTTAGTATGAATAAGCATAGAAACACGTGATAGCTTTTATGTGCGAACATAATAAAATGTATCGATGAATCGAGCATTCGTTACCGAATCGTTTTTACACATGATTGATTTTTCTCTTCATACAGAAAATATCGTCTTGAAGGTGAGTTTAATCATTCTTCATTTTGCACGTAAAAGAATTTCTTCATGTATGCGAAATCTGAATGTTGTCATAACGCAAATAATCGACGAGCGTTGTATGATAAATATCGTATACAATACATGATGTAAGTAATTCACAAATTATGATAACAACATTCATAATTATTAGATCCTCTGATGTGACTGAACACGATTAGCTGAAGATTGTATATAAATCATGAAACACTTATTGACCATAGTATTGAACAATAATGGTACACATAAAACCACTATATATATATATATATATATATTTATAGTTGTCCACGGTATCGATCGATGAGGTTTCCGTGAGTTTTAACCCGTGAATGAATTATAATCGCTTTCCACTTCAATGTATCACTGGTCGATCGTTGAAATACTATGAAACCGAGTTTTTGAAAGAAAAAAGTTTGCAAACAATATAGGTTCTATTTCAATTTTATTCCATTAGCGGTGTTCTCTTTGAATGAATGTCACTCACTAGATAAATCATTTCTTCTTTACGTATATCATGGTTGTATATGAAAATTGTATTTTTTTTCAAAGAAGTTTAACGTATTAGAATAAAAAGAATCCATAAGTGTACACATGAACATCATGTGCATGCAGTAAATTTCAAATTCAAATCGTAGCAGATCTTCACTTCTTTCAGACGACTGCCTGACATATCGATTCGGACAGCTGATGAAGGTAACACCGGTGAATTCAGCTTGAGAATTGTATCTTTAATCACCACTGCAGATGAACTTTCCATGACAGTTCTTGCCGGAAAACTAAGCGCTTGATACAGTCTTTCTGTGACCGTATAATAATCGGTTGCTTTGTCATAGTAGCAAGTACCTAAATATGGGTTTAGTATGATGATGAACTTCGAAAATGTAAAGTTCCATACCGTGTTTTTCCCATTCAGCTTGCATAAGAGTTTCCGAAGGCATGACGCAGAAGAATCGTTTGACGAAGGTGGAGTTCAGTTGTGGTTCATTTCGACAATTACGTGGATGGGCACGAACATTTGCAGCTTTTGCTGCCTGAGGCCATAATCCATGAACAATCAATCCGAATGTTGACGAATGAATACATTGAAATTCTTTATCGCGGGCAGATTGAGATAACGAGGCGCAATACGTCGGACTCCTATTCAAGAGATTATTCAGTGGAATTTATCTTTTAGATAAACCACGTGTTCTTACCAAGAAAGTGCGAGCATGATGTAATCTGTTGTCGCCGCTGTGTTAGCCCATTCTCCGCTTTTCGATTTCCAATTGAAATCATACTTTGGCTTGAGCTGTGTTGGCAATGGACAAGAATCATCGGCGGCTTTGATGCTCATTGTTGCACTGTTCATGATGCCGATCAATACCAAGAAGAGGAGGATCGTCTTTGCCATGGATAAGATCGACGAATGGTTTGCCAAAACAGAAGCTTGATTTTGAATGAAATGATAAGAATATGACGAATATTTATAACGAATTTTATAAGAATTTATTGCTGAAACTGAAGCTGTTTTCGAGAGGATTTTATGGGCTATAAGAGATCGGATGACAATCTTTATCTTCACGTTAATCATTTACGATCGAGCAAATGTATTTCATATGAAAAAAGTGCATTGATGACGTATGAAAAAATGTAAACTACATCTCACTACGAATTAAATGACGAAATCTTGAGTTCGATTTAACATAGTCAACACTGAGAAGGCGAACTTCTCCATGATTTCATCTTCTAACAGGAGAGGAAATTATGTTTTTTGCGCCCGTGCGGTAATTACGTTTTTTTGATACAGAACAAGTTTTGCTCGCTAAAAGCAGAGAAACGGATATGTTGTTTAAGTACATTGACACAGCATTTAGATATAGATTATTGCTATTAATTCCCTAGCTTGGTAATAAAACAATAAAAAAATTTTCGGATGATTTTTTTTCTACTACTCAATGTTCGGTGTGCATCAAGCGATGAAAAAGGCATTGGCAGCCATTTCAAAATGTGTTCATAATCGTTGCTGGCACTGTTACCTATGGTAATACTTCTAGCAAACTTCATAGCTCGCATAAAGTCTGTGTTAACTCTAACCTTGATTTACAATTGTATAGCGTCTATTTCACATTCAACCTATACTGTGGTTAAAAAGATTTCGAGAATCGAAGGTTTAGTTCAAAAGCTTTCGTCTCAACACTCGAGATATTTTTTCAGGAAATCTTTGGTAGATGAAAATTTCTAATCTTTTATACAATTTGATCTATCCTACAATTCTCTTTCAAACTACGTATTTCTAATTGAATCTTACCTCGATTGGATGAAAATTTTGCAAATATCTACGAGATTCTTTCCAGAAATTCGCTAATTATTATCTTTCAATCTGATGCTATTCCAGAATCTCTTTCACTCTTTTTTCAATTAAAATAGAATTCGATGGACTAGTAAGCACTTGATCGATTGATGCGCTTTCGATATGGTCTATCCCAGTTCTTATAGACAAATTCAGGATTTATATGTACACAACCAAAAGTATGTAGTAATTGAATAATTTTGAAAATTTTAACTGGTAAAATCAATTTTCTCACCAAAATTAAAACTGTTTTAGGTGATAATCTCCGTAGCTCTGGGTTTGACGGTACGAACTTTCAGAAGTGCTTTTGCAATCGTTGCACAAATCCGCGCATTTCTTGGTGCATTTTCGAACGATATAAAAGCTAATGGTTTTTCAAATTTTGTTGAATTATAAACAAGTGAGGAAAATAAGCAAAAATATATGAATCAACCTATATAGTCATTTCAAAAATACGTGTGCTTTTTCTTCTCGACTGACAGGATAAATGTTGTTGACATACGACGTTGAGATATTTTCATTACCAATGAAAAGGAAAGCCGTTTTCATCAAATATAGATAACAATAGAATGAGAGCTCTATGGATCATAGATTGAATCGTCTATGTGTATATAAATACTATGCATAAGGAGAAACAAAAACATCGAAGCGCTGCTATATAATGAAAGAACACGATACTTACCAATGTCTTCATAGTGTTCAGTTTAATTCATTCAGTCGAATGTGGCTGTGGATGCGCAGACTAGTGTAAGAAAAATGGTAAAGAATATGGCATCTGCGGCGATGGACACACTTCTATTTGCTCGTCGACATCAATTACAGATCCAGGTAGAGTGCACTTCGACGTCTTTTGATTAGTTCTGAATTTTTGCGAATGTTTTCATTGAAGAAAATGGTTGCGGATATGCTGCTTGGTGCCGAAAATCGGGTCATTCTGGTGGAATATGTGGCGATGGACACACATGCATATGTACATCGGGTAACACACAAAAGCAGGTCGAAGACCATACCCATGGACAACACAAACTGATGATCATCGATGAAACTGGTGATATGCTAACTGATCAACTACGACAAACAATGCTGGATGTCTTCTTCAAAATATATCCGAAACTTGTCTTACGGTTCAATCCTAACGCAAGAAAATCTGTCAAATTTAGAATTGATCGTCGTCAATGGTGGTATTGCTCATGCATGAAAGTATGTTGAATGCTTAGGAGTTAAAGATGACGATATTTCCTTGATATACGTATATTTCAGCTAATGATGAAATTGTTCTCGGTCAGAAATGTTTCTCGCATGGATCTGTATGTGGTGTTTTGACACACGAACTAATGCATCTCATTCAGTCATATCCTGAGGGTCAGCCAAGTTAGCTTGTAGAAGGTATTGCTGATTATATCCGTTGGAAATATGGATCAAATGATACAAACAGTCGTTGGTGACTACCTGATTTTCAACCTGGNGAAATTGCGTGTTATGACTACACTTTAAATGATCTCGGTGAAAATATTGATGATGTACAACTGACATTGGTTTGTGCTGCTGAGGTTACATGTACAATATCTTACGGAGATGTTGTTATTACTATGCTTACGGCAGATGAAGTTCTTGCAAAAGATATTATCAAGCAGGCACTAGAGAAACTCCACATTCCACTAGAAGAATATGATCGTTTTGAATTAAATGTATTAGAAGATCCAGAAAATCCAAGTGGAGTTAATGAAAATTCATCCATAGCTGAGATTAGAGAAGATTTACCCGATGGTATGACTACTATTCCGTTTTTGTTACTCAAACAGTAAATGAACATTTTTTATTCGATGTCGCTTTGTTCTTTTTTTATACAAGAGGAGTTTTTCATAAATAAAGTTCTTTTTCGAAAACATTGAGCTAACTCCTGTTATTCCGTTGAAACAAATATTTCATTCAACACTATCTATTAGCCTTTGCTAAGGAACAGAGAAAAACGCATCGCCTATTTCATAGCTTCAAATACAGCCGCATACTTCTTGATTCAATTCCTATATATTAGTTTATTTTTCTTCAAAAACAAGCTGCGTGGAATCTTCAATGGATGCTGAAAACTCGACTAAAACAATTGTCGAATCATGGTTTATTCCAATTGATATTCTTGCAATTATCTTGAATGCCATAACTACAATCCTGGCGATAATAGCTTTAACTATAATTACTTGCGACAGATCGTGTCGAACCGCTAGTTCGATGATCCTTGTTGGAAATTCGTGCGTGGCAACATTGATGTTTGCAGTTGAAATACTTTGTATGAATGTGTTTACTCTCCAGAATGATCTGAATCAGATTCGATATGAATATCCACTTTGTGTCGTACTTGGATGTTTAAATTACACAGTATGTGCTATGGAAAACTATTCGTTTCTCTTACAGGCGATGTATCGATATTTATTAATTGTTTACCCAACTCGTACTTTCTGGCATTCATGGCAAATGCAAATGTTATACATTTGTATTTCATCGATCATGGTTGGTATTTTACCAATATTATTTCTGTTTACGGGACAGCGCACATATGATGTGGACAATCAAATGTGTCAAATGTATCTTCGATTTTCTTTTCCAGTCGTTTACATGGCGGTTTGTCTCTATGTCAATTTATTTTATCTTAACTCGATATGTTAAAAGAATGAATGCAAATACGCCACCGACTAACACACTATCAAGAGCCCAGCGCGATTTAAAAATGCTCCGACGTATTATCATATTGATAGCAATTCTCATTGCTATTTGTTTTCCTTATCAACTAATTCTTTTCCTGTCGTCGTTTAACCATGCACCAAAACAAGGCTTTCGTATTGGTTTTCTATTTGGTGACATCGGAACGGTGTATGTCATTCTCGCCTTGTTTAAATTTTCAGATCCACTAAAATCTTCTGTAAGGAAAATGATTAATAAATCATCAAACATGGCCATTGTAGCTGTATCATGATTAAGAAACTGCTGTATCGAGGCTTTAACCATCGGCTATGTTGTTTTTTCGTAACAGTGAATGAAAATGAATGATGTATTTAAATTGGTTTTAGTTTCTCTTGTTTTTCCTCAAAATTATATAAACCTTTCACAATACGATATCTCCACAACTGCGGTGCTGTCAAAATATTTCAATAAATCGCATTAGCTCTCTTGTTATCTATCAGCACTTTAGTCGCCTCGTTATGTTGATCTCAAAATGCAGTTTGTGACAAACAAATTTAACTTTGTCTTGGAATGAATGCGTGATTCAAACATCGCTAATCAAACGCATAGAGCCAATATTAGTAGTTTATACATGTCTATTGACTGCCATCCGACGATCGTCAAAACACATAAAAAAAGAGATAACAGTTCCATTAAACGTTTTCTAATGTCTAATGCAGCTGAATCCTCATCATCCCAATCAACTGCATGTTTCAGTTGGAGTCGTATTCTACTATCGGCTTCTTTCCCAGTGATATTCGGCATCTTTAGTGTTGTTTTTACAATACAACAAAACATAATTTCTCAGGCTAATCGCGAACAAGATCAACGGCAAGCGAACATACTTCGTCAACAACATATTTACGATGCATATATCAACGATATTTCGGCCTTACTTATCAGTCCGTCGTTTAATGAATCCAATCGACATCAATTAAATTATATTGGGTTTAAAACAGTGGACATCATCAAACATTTGAGTAAGGCTCAGAAACGCGACATTATCTTCTTTCTGCATAATCACGAATTGCTTTCACTAAATAAACCAGCCAGTCAACGTGTCGATTTGGTTGGAGCTGATTTGACCAATGTTGAATTTATTCGATCGCCTTCTCTCAATTGTGACCTTCGAAATATATCCTTGCAGTATATTCTCGCTTCAAATATTGTCTTTGATAGATGTGATATCAGTTTTGCACTATTTCAAGGAGCTTGGATGGTTGGAGCAAATTTTATCAAGTCAATTATGCATGGCGCAAACTTCGGCAAGGCTAATTTGACTGATGTTGTATTTGATGGCAACAACATAAATCTGATAGTATTATCCAATGCTATTCTTATAAATTCAAAATTCTTGGAATTAAAACCATACCAGACTGATTTCACCAATACCGATCTGCTGAACAGTGATTTGACCGATAGAGATCTATCACTTTTGAAAGATCGTTTCAATAATACTCGATTGCCGAACGGTACTTTCATTGCAGTGGATAGCACTCAATTAATTAACGACGGTGGCGCAGAAAAAGCGGTAAGTTCTCCTTAGTTTTTAACAAAATGTCGAATGAAATATATTTTTAGTGCACTCGCGGTAGTCATAGAGAGTGGATGAAGTTCCAACAATACAGTAATCTTGACTTATACACCGCAAATTATCGTAATTGGAGTACTCCTAAATCTGTCAATGGTAAATGCTACTTTGGTAAGAATAGCCTGGGTGTCATGTATCAATATTTCTCTAAAACACATTACTCGTTGTTAATCAATAATGAACATGCTTATTTTAATCTTTCTGCTTACATGGGTTGTACGATACCTAATAGAGGAAATGATCGTGCTTTAATTGATGTACGATGTTTTGATCAGTTCTACAATGGTCCTGTATGTGCCCATGTAAGCATTTTTTGGATCTAAACGCGCTTTAATCGCGTCCGAATCGCGTCTAAATCACAGTAATTGAGCGCGTCCCAGGTGAAACAATCGGAGCATCCAGACGCAGTACAAAACTGACTGCGTCTAAACGCACTTCAATTTGAGCTGCGTCCTGGGTGAAACTATCGGAGCGTCTGAACGCGTTCACATTAAATTTCAAAATTAGGCAAAAAATCTTTCAGCCNATTTATTGCTGAAACTGAAGCTGTTTTCGAGAGGATTTTATGGGCTATAAGAGATCGGATGACAATCTTTATCTTCACGTTAATCATTTACGATCGAGCAAATGTATTTCATATGAAAAAAAAGTGCATTGATGACGTATAAAAAAATGTAAACTACATCTCACTACGAATTAAATGACGAAATCTTGAATTCGATTTAACATAGTCAACACTGAGAAAGCGAACTTTTCCATGATTTCATCTTCTTAACAGGAGAGGAAATTACGCTTTTTTGATACAGAACAAGTTTTGCTCGTTAAAAGCAGAAAAACAGATATGCTGTTCAAGTACATCGACATGTAGTATTTCGATATAGATAATTCACTAGCTTGGTAATAAAACAAGAAAAATATTTTTCGGATGATTTTGTCTACTACTCAATGTTCGATGTGCATCAAGCGATGAAAAAGGCATTGGCAGTCATTTCAAAATGCGTTCATAATCGTTGCTGGCACCGTTAACCTATGGTAATACTTCCAGCAATCTTCATCGTTCGCATAAAATCTGTGTTAACTCTAACCTTGATTTACAATTGTATAGAGTCTATTTCACATTCAACCTGTACCGTGGTTAAAAAGATTTCGAGAATCGAAGGTGTAGTTTAAAAGCTTCCTTCTCGACACTCTCGAGATATTTTTCTAGAAAATCTTAGGTAGATGAAAATTTCTAATCTTTTATATAATTCGATCTATCCTACAATTCTCTTTCAAACTACGTATTTCTAATTAAACCTTACTTAAATTGGATTGAAAATTTCGTAAATGTCTACGAGACACTTTCCAGAATTTTGCTAATTATCATCTTTTAATCCGATGCTATTCCGTAATCTCTTTCATTCTTTTTCCAATTAAAATAGAATTCGATGGACTAGTAATCACTTGATCGATTGATGTGCTTTCGATATGGTCTACCCCAGTTCTTATAGACAAATTTAGGATTCATATGTATACAACCAAAAGTATGTAGTAATTGAACAATTTTGAAAAAAAACTTCAACTGGTAAAATCAATTTTCTCACCAAAATTAAAACTGTTTTAGGTGGTAATCTCCGTAGCTCTGGGTTTGACGGTACGAACTTTCAGAAGTACTTTTGCAATGGCTGCACAAATCCGCGCATTTCTTGGCCCACTCATAAAATAAGTTAAATGAAAACTATACAATTTGATACAGTAGCCAATGCAATTCCAAACGATATAAAAGCTAATGGTTTTTCAGATTTTGTTGAACTATAAACAAATGAAGAAAAAAAGCAGCTCTATGGATTATAAATTGAATCGTCTATGTGTATATAAATACTATGCACAAGAAGAAACAAAAACATCGAAGCGCTGCTGTATAATGAAGAACATGATACTTACCAATGTCTTTATAGTGTTCAGTTTAATTCATTCAATTGAATATGGCTGTGGATGTGCAGACTAGTGTAAGAAAAATGGTAAAGAATATGGCATCTGCAACGATGGGCACACTTCTGTTTGATCGTTGACACCAATTAAAGGTCAAGGTAGAGTGCACTTCGAAGTCTTTTGATTAGTTCTGAATTCTTGCGAATGTTTTCATTGAAGAAAATGGTTGTGGATGTGCTGCTTGGTGCCGAAAATCGGGTCATTCTGGTGGAATCTGTGGCGATGGACACACAAAAGCAGGTCGAAGACCATACCCATGGACAATACAAACTGATGATCATCGATGAAACTGGTGATATGTTAACTTATCAAATATGACAAACGATGTTGGATGTCTTCTTGAAAATATATCCGAAACTTGCCTTACGCTTCAATCATAATGCAAGAAAATCTGTCGAATTTAGAATTGATCGTCGTCAATGGTGGTATTGCTCATGCATGAAAGTATGTTGAATGCTTAGGAGTTAAAGATGACGATATTTCCTTGATATATATTTCAGCTAATGATGAAATTGTTCTCGGCCAGAAATGTTTCTCGCATGGATCTGTATGTGGTGTTTTGACACACGAACTAATGCATCTCATTCAGTCATATCCTGAAGGTCAGCCAAGTTAGCTTGTAGAAGATATTACTGATTATGTCCGTTGGAAATATGGCTCAAATGATACAAACAGTCGTTGGTGACTACCTGATTTTCAACCTGGTCAACATTGCACAAATTTATATGGAGTTACCGATCGATTTTTAGTTTA